TGGTTCTATGATGTTCTAATAAGTTCTTCCCAGATGTTCTGAGAGTGCAGGGCAGATTGTGTGGGGAGAGGCATTCCTTCAAGTAACTCAGTCCCAAGCCATGTAGGGCTTTAAAGGTAATAACTAATGCTTTGTACTGCACCTGGAAGCTAATCGGCAGCCAATGAAGAGATTTTAATATAGGTTGACTTACCATAGTATCTCATGTTAAAAGGCTCTGTAACATGTGCACTTCAAATGCAGAGAGAGAGCTGCACACCAGAAAATGGAGAATGAACAAACTAAGATCAACTGCATACTATCTGATGTAGCGATACAAAGAGAGAGAGGATGTGGCTATGACCAACAAAGAGGAAATAACATGAATATATGTGACAACTAAACTCTTAGAGAGACATGCAAACTAGAAATGAGTGAGCACAGGAAGGATCAGGTTGCTGTCTCTAAAAATACACCACCTTAGTTCTCATATTGATGAAAAGGCAAGATACAACTGAAATGAATACATAAATAATTGGTATGAGGAAGCCATGTGCATTCATACACACTCTCTCCCTAGTTCCAAGCCTCACTTCTTTCTCTTTCTTTCTTTCTTTCTTTCTTTCTTTCTTTCTTTCTTTCTTCCTTCCTTCCTTCCTTCCTTCCTTCCTTCCTTCCTTCCTTCCTTCCTTTTAGTGTACCAACATTGGAGAAGCATAACACATATACAGTGGGCCTTGGTATCCACTGTGGTTTGGTTCCAGGATCCCCCGTGGATACAAAAATCTGTGGATGCTCATGTTCCATTAAATACAATGGCATAGTGAAATAGTGTCCCTTATATAAAATGGCAAAGCCAAAGTTTGCTTTTTGGATTTTATATTTTTTTGGAATATATTACAAGCTGTGGATGGTTGAATCCATGGATAAAGAATCCGTGGATATGGAAGGCTGACTGTATAACTCACCTTCATGCTGAGCCAGAGACCCCTGGAACCAGTGAGAAAAGAGTAGAGATAGGTGCCCAACTTTTAATGCTACCTTATATACAAAATCTAGCATATTTCGTCCTCAGGTGCCATTCACCCTGATATTTGTCCCCTCACCCAGAGTCCCATAAACATATATTTTCAGAAACTTTCGAGCTTATCACATTGTTAAATAACTCGCCTTACCTGATCCAGCTTAAAATTAAGTTCGGGCAGGGTCCGGACCCTATCGCAAGGGTTTTGCTGCTGAAATTGCCACCCAGCACCATCCCAGGGCCATCCCTGCTCCTGGAACTACTCCAGAGGCCATTTTCTGAAGCTGGAAAACTCCCGACTTTGAAAAGAGCCACGCTGAGCATTTCTAGGAGTGGGGGTGGTCCTGGGCCACATTTGGGCAGTAATTTTGGTGGCAAAACCTTTGCGATAGGGTCTGGATGCTGCCCAAATTTAATTTTAAGATGGATTAGGTAAGGTGAGTTATTTAACAATGCGATAAGCTCATTTAGCTGCACCCTAAGAGTGCATTTACACTGTAAATGCACCCTTAGGGGAGAAATGCAAACTGTAGAAATACAGTTTGTCACCACTTTAAGTGCTGTCACTCCATCCTATGGAATCCTGGGATTTGTAGTTTTACATTGTCTTTAGCCTTCTCTGCCAAAGAGTGCTGGTGCCTCCCAAAAGGACAAAACCGAGGATTGTGAAAGATGGAGCCATGGCAGTTAAAGTGGTGTTAAACTGCATTGTTTCTACCATGTCGATGCATCCTGTGACCAAACAAGAAAAGTCTTGGACTATCAGCAGCAAAGAAATGAACAACGTGCTGTTGCAGAAATGGCTAAAACTCTTAAAACCCAATGAATAATTTGCAAAGACCTTGTTCTCTACCCCATCAAATCACACAAAGCAGGAAAGCAACCAAAGGCTTGGCCTCCCACTTGATGGTGGGATCTGTCAAAGTTTTGGGCATCAAATGCAATGGTTTAAGGAACAATATGACACAGTCTTTCATCAGATTATCATTTTAATCAGCATAACAAATCACAGGGCCAATTAGGAGTGCTGTGTGGAAATTCAGCTGCAATGACTGGGCAAGATGAATGTTTTGACTTAGCTGCCAAATGGCATGTAAAATAATCCTATTTCTCAAAGCAGAGCTCAGTGGTAGGTAATCTTCTCTTTCACTCTCACTGGCTTCGTGGGACTTCGATAAGGAATTACTATAGCAAATGAGATTCACTCTTATCTTGTGTTTTCTCATAACTAGGAGCGGCTAAGGCCACACAACGTGAAATTCATTATATTTATGATGGTGCATAATATATGGAGAAGCCTGAGGAGAAATGGAAATATAATGATCTGTAAAAGTTATCTCGTCATGGGGCTGATGAGATTTGTAGTCCAAATTATTTTTATTTATTTATCTATTTAGAACATTTATATCCCACTCCCTTCAGCCAAAGAGGCCACCAGAGCAGCTTACAAACTGTTACTGCAATTTGACCATTCCCTGCCCTTAGGCTTACAATCCAAAAAAGATATAAAAGACAAGAAAAGGGAAATGGCAGTGTGGGGAAGAGATTTAATTAGCTAATGATGGCTGCTCTTCTCTCCCTCAGAGGCCACAGAATTGGCAGTTGGTATGGAAGGAGGGGCTTTCACCAGTTCCTGGGACCAAGATATGATGGCACTCTGCCTGCTTTTCTCTCCCACAAAAGCCGCCATATTGTCAGCTGCTATGCAGGGAGGGCCTCTCACCAGCTGCTAGGACCAAGGCATTGTGCATGGCTGCTCTTCTCTCCCTCAGAGGCTACAGAATTGGCAATTGGTATGGAGAGAAGGCCTCTTACCAGCTGCTGGGACCAAGGCATGATGGCACTGTGCCTGACTGCTATTCTCCCCCCAAGAGGCTCTGCAGTGGCAGTAGAGATGGATGGAGGGCCTCTCACCAGCTGCTAGGACCAGGACACAATGGTGTTGTGCCTGGCTGCTCTTCTCTCCCTAGGATGCCATAGCATTGGGAATTGGTATGAAGGGAAGGCCTCTTACCAGCTACTAGGACCAAGGCATAGTGGTGCTGTGCCTGACGGTCTCACTCAAGTGGTGCGATGTGGCACAATGTTGGGGAAGACTGTTTGCCGAACTGACCCAAACACTCACTATCAACAAAATTGACTATTAGCAGCTTTTAGTGGCAGGGATCAGTTCCCATGTCAGTGGAGTGGTGAATCTCCCCCTCCCCCCAGTTTGAGTCTAAACTTTGAAGGAGGCAGAGTTCTTGGGTAGCTTCTCTACAATTTGGATTAAAACACAGAACAAATTCAATGCCACACTGACAGGGAAGCCACCATCTGTCACTGACAGCCTTGTTTTAAGAAGTCATCCAGGGATTGTGAGAGCCAGCATGATGTAGTTGGATACACTTAGGTGTTAGAATCATAGATTCATACAGTTGGAAGAGACCACCAGGGGCCATCCAGCCCAACCTCCTGCCATGTAGGAAAATTACAATCAAAGCATCCCTGACAGATGGCCATCCAGCCTCTGTTTAAAGACTTCCAAGGAAGGAGACACTACCACACTCCAAGGGAGTGTGTTCCACCGTCGAACAGCCCTTACTGTTAAGAAGTTCCTCGTAAAGTTGAAGTGAAATCTCTTTTCCTGTAGCTTGCATCCATTGTTCCATGTTCTATTCCCTGGAGCAGCAGAAAACAAGCTTGCTCCATCCTCAATGTGACATCCCCTTCAAATACTTAAACAGGGCTATCTTATCATCATCTCTTAACCATCTCTTCTCCAGGCTAAACATACCCAGCCTCCTAAGTCTTTCTTCATAAGGCATGGTTTCCAGATCCTTCACCATTTTGGTCACCCTCCTGACTCTAGGAGATCAGGGTTTGAATCCCCACTTAGCCATGGAAACCCACCGGGAGACCTTAGGCAAATCACACTCTCTATTGACAAGAAAACTCTATAAGTTAACATTAGGATTACCATAAGTCAGAAAATACATGAAGGCCCACAACAACCATGGATTCTCTTTTCTTCTGAAGTGTATCCTTTTGAACTTTTGGTTCTGGGCGATTTCAACATCCCACTCGAAACCAGTTTGCAAGATTTAACTGGAGCGGCTCGGGAGTTCATGGATACCATGACTAACATGGGCCTATCTCAGCTGGTCAACGGGCCCACACATTGTGCTGGTCATACACTCGATACGGTCT